CCTTATGGCTGCCTATAAGTTCATCACGGGGGCACAGAAGGGAATTGGTGAGGTTTTATTCACCAAGGCGCCCCTGGGGGTTACAAGAAATAATGGCCACAAACTAGCAGAGAGCAGATTTAGACTAGACATTAGGAAGAAATTCTTCACAGTTAGAGTGGCCAAGGTCTGGAACGGGCTCCCAAGGGAGGTGGTGCTCTCCCCTACCCTGGGGGTCTTCAAGAGGAGGTTAGATAGGCATGTAGCTGGGGTCATCTAGACCCAGCACGCTTTCCTGCCTATGCAGGGGGTCGGACTCGATGATCTATTGAGGTCCCTTCCGACCCTAGCATCTATGAATCTAAACATGTTTTAGCACTATCAAGTAAGTTAAAAAGGAACCAGAAATAAATCGCCTGTGCATACACTCCACAAGACCAAGGGCAGGCAACGTTATTGAATGACTAGTCTAGTGTTACACTGTTAACTCAGATCTGTTTTTTTTAAATGTGACTGACATTTTCCTTAGTGCTATTCAAGATTTAATTTTGTTTTGAGTTTGAAGTAACTTACTGCATAATCTTATTTCTGACTCATTTTCAGATTGAAGTTGGGGTATAGTTTTATCCTTACTTTAGTATCAATTAAATTATATGTGTAAGACAAACTGCAAGTCAGAGATACTTGAAAGGAAAGGAGCAAAAGTGAGAAACCCAGGTGGAGTTACCCAAAATCAAGCGCTCAAGATGCAGATAAATACTTGTGAATGATTAAGGCAGCACCAATGCACTCTTAAGTTGTTGCTTCAATTTAGAATATGAGACTACAGCCCAAATATTAAGACAGCTACATTCCTTTATTGGTAGCCAAATATGGTCTCCATTTTTCATGAATGAGTGATCAGCATTTATAATCTTTGCCTCTTTGTTATCAATCTCAACTATCTTTGTTCTTTTTGCAATATCTGTTACTGTTATCTGAAACGCAGGAAAACAAAAATAACTGAAAGGCCAGAAGTTTTATGACCTTCCGTCATGTATCCATAGACTTAAAAAGTTTTTAAAAATTGAGCACATCTTAGTTTATTCCAAAGTTAATGCCTTTTTGTTATACACTTCAGTCAGGAGCTGTTATGACCATTCTAAATTAAGTTTTTTATTTGATGCTGGTAATTCTCACTAAATGACTTGGAAGCCTGATGTGAATTACTGAATTTAGCAAATAGGGGAATTAATGGAATAAGCAGTAACCTAGGGTATTGCCTCATAATGTACCTTTTATTGTTTTTTATGTTTTTAAGTATAGCTGAATTAAAAATATAATACTTAAATTTAATACTCTGTAGCAAAAATGAAGCATGGGGGAGAAGAGAAGCAATGGAGTTACAGTGGTGTGTTATGAAGTGAGGGGAGTACGTTTTGTGAGGGTAAATTGTAAAAGGCATGACAAGTTTGCCAGAGGATTAGTCCAAAGCTCAGATGGGATAACGGGTGAGTCAGTAATGTAGCCCGGAGCTGCTTTGAGTGAGAAAAGGATCCTTGTATTCTTGCTGGCTTGCCATCTTCCTTTCTGTTTAGTGCTTTTATTAGTGGCTAAAACTGACCAATAAGTGAATCTTTCAGCTTCTCTCTAGTAGGATGATACTGAAAGGTATTTAATATAGCAGTAATAAGTATATCTCTCTTGGCACCATAAAACGTAGTGTGCATTTTTAAGTTGTTAATTAAAAATGCAATCATTGAAATTTAACCTTACGTTTCATGCTGTTGAGCTACATTGTGGTTTTAAGTAATATTTGCTTCATAGTTGACACACTTTCCCTAGTCATCAAGCACCAGTATGGTGCCATTCAGTGATTGCAATAAATAAAAATGTTCTACTGTATAAAAGGAAAACTTCATAGTTTTGCTGTACTCTGTTAAATTGGCCTCTAATTTAATGAGCGTTACTATTCACCTTAGTATCAATAGAGGGGAAAAAAATCTTTTCTCCAAGATTTTTCCAATATTTCTTTTCTTTTTTTCTTTTTAAGATGAAGAATATCAGTGGAAAGCCCCCTTTTACTTCATTCAAGGAGCAGATCCTCAATTTGGGCTGATGAAAGCCTGGGCAATTGGTGACTGTGACAGTGGAGGTGATGAATGGGAAGAGGAGATCAAATTAACAGAGCAAGCTGTACAGGCCATTAACAAGCTAAATCCCAAACCCAAGTTTTTTGTATTATGTGGTGACCTCATACACGGCATGCCAGGTAAGACTATTAACGGTGATTGTAATCTCACTGTCTCTTTTTATATGCAGAAAAGTCTATCCCAATTTTACAGTATTTAGTTATATGTATTACTGTATTTAATTATATTCATGACACTGCCATTGCCAGTATGAGTACTTTTAAAACAGTGCCAGAGGTAATATTCTGACCTCTCTGCTGGACTTCTTATGTCATTCATGCCAGTTCTTTTTCCTTGTCAAGAACCGTTTTTTTCTGTGGTTCAGAGACATGGTATTTGAATAAACTCATATCTTAAGTGGACACATTGAAGGTTTTTATTCTTAAATAATTATCTTAAGACACAGTAGAGAGACTCTAGTCAGGAGGTAGAGCAGAGGAAAGGACTGAGGAATGGACTCTAGTACCTAAAAGGAGCTAGGCAGGGGATCCAGCCAGACTTTCTAATGCTTAATAAACCCTCTTCCTTTTAACCTTAAAATCTAATTTTAAATGTCAAAAGTTAGGAAACTCGTTGTGGAAGTTGTCTCCATTTTTGCATGATTTTGAGATCTAAGTGTGACCATGTATTGAAACAAGTAAATACAACAGACATCTAGAAAGATGGATTACAGGATTCAGCCCACCCTAGAAAGGCACTCCCAGGGCTTGAAGAACCTCATGTTGCATGTCTCAGGAATTCATAGTACAGGATGAGGCCTCTGAAGATCAGGCCTGCCTGGGCTCCCCCATTTAGGATTCCCCAGGTGGGCATGGATACTTAGTGCGGTCGTGGGGCTGGGGCCACCAATCAGCTGATTGGCGGTCCCATCCCAGGGGCAACACAAGAGCCTGGCTTTCTCTGCTTACAGAGACATGCCCAGGGAATATCTGGGACAAGTCTTTGCAAGCGGGAAACATGTAATCTGTTGTCCCTCAAGATTAACAGGTGGGACAATGGGCAATGTGTGTGTCCCAGCAAAGTGGATCAGCTGTTCCAGGACACATTCTGGCACAATTGATCTGCTTCACTTGGAGACATCTGTATACCCTTAAGGAATTCCTCTTCTTAAAAAGTAAGCTTTATAAATGCCAGATCAGGATCTGGCACTAAGTTTGTATTTTCCCTATTGTAGTGCAGTTGTTAATATCTTACTGGCCACATAAAAGCTTGTTTAAGAAAAGAAAAAGAGTAATTCTTGAATTTTTGTATTTTTCCTTTTCTATGTGCTTTGGGGAATTGAAAGGGGTGATATGTAGGGACCTACTGAATTTGCAATTGTGCAATTTTTTGCGGAAAACACAACATCGAGCAGGCTCCTTGAAAAATGGCAGGCTCTGCAAAAAATGGTGGGCTCTGCTGTTTTGCTGTGCCTGCTGCAAAAAAAAAAAAAAAAAGAAAGAAAAATTACCAGCAAGCAGATAAAAGGGCAGGAAGCCCTGCACCTACAGCATGGCGTGAAGTCCTGAGGTCTTGGAGCATGGGGGAGAGGGGAGAAAGCAGAGGAGGGGAAGGAGGAAAGAAGAGGTGCAGGGGAAGGCTGAGGAGTGAGGGAGGAAGGCAGGGGGCAGGGCAGGGTGGGGCTGCTTGCAGCAAGATGCAGGGAGACATTAAGCAGCTGTACCAGGCTCTCAGGCCAGCTGTGGCAGACAGCCAGGCTACGGCACAGGTGTCTATGGAGCTACAGCATGGCTTGTTGAGTGCATGCACCCACTGCCAGTGAGTCGGACCAGGGCTCTGTGACCTAGGGTAGCCAACTGTTTGAACCTATTCCAGCAGGTTTTATCACATGATCTAGTTACGTTAATTACAGTGTGTAGACTTCATGTCAGGAAGGCAAATGCACATGACTATTACATTTTAAAAACCCACTGGACTGCTGTATAAAACAGATTCAGCATTTAATATTTATTTTAATGAATGCCCTATCATTTATATCCTGGGTGACTCTCAGCAGTCTTCTGGAGATTTTTATGTAATTCCTGAAGACTCCAGGGCAATCTTGGAGGGTTGGCAACCCTACGTGGACCCCAGATGCAGCCTTACCACTTGGGGATGGCTCAAAACCACAGTTTAATTACCCTGATTAAGCCCAGGGAAGCCATTAATCCACATATTATTAAGCATGGATTAATGGCTTTCCCAGCCTTAATCAGGGTAATTAAGCTGCAGTTTCAGGCTGTCTGGCAGTCTGTGGGGAGGAGTGGGACTGCTGGAGCCCCTCACCTGATCAGTCTTTGGGGTGCTGCACAGCACTCAGCACACAAAAATGATGGCCAGTTCCAACATCTGCCTGTGATATTGACTGGCTGCCTGCTTGAGTTCAGTAGACCCCTAGTGATATGATGTGGTTGCCTGTGATAGCACAGTGCTAGACTCCGTGATTTGGAAAGTCCTTCATGTTCTGTATGTATTCCTATACCAACAGGCAGACCTATCCTTTTATATTCAGAGCGTGTCTAGTTGAAGACACTCAGGCAGGACAGAATATTGAGGCTTATTGGTTCTAGCTCCTGTCAAGGTGTTGTGGGGTTTTGTTTTGTTTTTCTTTTTTTCTTCTTTTTTGGTTTGGGGACTGTACAGGGATCTAATTTGTCATAAGATTTTAAATACAAATTTGTCAGAGTTTGGCAAATGTTATCAAATATTCCTTTTAGTTACAAAACATAAAATGTTACACTGAACAGATTGTTTCTAATGTCTAATGCATAGCTAACACAGAACATAAGTCATGTTAGCTGTATAGTCTATTGGAAGTCTTAGCAAGCAGTGCAGTGTCTCATTTGATAGTTTTCATTTCTGTCTATATAGACAACTAATAGCTATAGGTACTACAGGTACTGTATCTTGCTTTGATGATACATAAAACATTATTAAATAGCAAGTTAATCAACTGAGCAATATATATCTGCTTTATGCTTATAAGATACTACATAGAATTGTAAAAGAGATGTTCTACTAAAAGAGAAACAAACAATCTTCTACTAGAATAGTTGCTGCTCAGATCACTCACATTTGCTTAAGTTTATACAAACAACTCTGACACTTCAGTCAGTTAAGTGTAACAATTTCACAACTGGTCATTTCTCTCTGTAGTCTCAAAACAAAGACATAAGTCGGCCTATATCTGAGACAATTTGTAAAATACCCAAACGGTCATTGAGACTTGCAAGAGTCAAGAAAAACAGTGTTGAAAAAATAATTGATACATTAACTACAAAGAGACGGACCTATAATTACCATTCTGGTCCAGATTTTTAGAAGTCTGGTACCATAAATGGATACCGTGGAAGAACTGAAATGTGATTCTGTTTTATTTCTTACCTTTTTCTTTCGCTTATTGTAATTTTTAAAGGCTGAAAAAAAACGAGTGTTAACAGATTTTTTTTTTTTTTTAAAAAGCTCGATTCTGCCAAAGGAAGTCACAATGGAAATCTCTTGAATAACTTTTTTGTATAGAAACTACTCTATCTGGATATATCTTTAAATATGAGGGATGTCTGAAACTTTGGGGAATACACAGAAAATGAGTTCTTAAGAAGCCAAGACTTTGATTTATTGCAGTCCTCTGACACTAGAATTGACTGCTGTGGAGATCTGATTTTAACCTCTCCAATTTCCTTGCAGTAGCACTTGCTTTTAGGAAAACTTGAAAGTGCAATCACATTCTCTAGTTTTCTATTACATTCCCTTTTACATTTAAAGATTGGAGCGACTTTACTTCCTTCATTTTCACCAAAGTCTTAGTTTTCTTCTGGTGTGTAGAATAGTGTGTAGGACACTGTTGATGACCTCTGTGCTACAGTCAGATGACATAAATTACGATTACAAGAGGTTTTATCCCTAGCACCTGGGCTGGGTCAGTATCCACCGATTTCGGTAGCTACTATTGTTCTTGGGATGATTATTTTTTAAAATTAAAAGCCAAAGTTTGATAAAATGGGGGATGATAAAATGAAAGCAAAGAAAACAAGGATCTGAAGTGAGATGAGCAACTGATTGCACTAAAGAAAATGACCTGATTATGAGACTCATCATTTGGGTTGATCTATAGACATTTTCACTTGGTCATGTCACAACCCAAGGGTGTGATTTTTGTTTTTGTGTGTGCTTTGGCACCAAAGAATTATTTTTCTGCCAATTTGTAGCTTTCTTTGCAGTGTGCATTTCTTCTTTGCAGCTAAGAAATGCTCGTTGCAAAGAGTTCCCGCCATTTGTATGATAATTCGAGCCCCATTACTGGCTTGCGTGAAATTATTCCCACGTGGCGGCTAGCGATTGGCTTGCTAGCCGTATAAAAAGCTTGGGTGGTTTCCACCCAAGTTGGAGAACTCTGAGGAGAACCCCCGCAAGGGAGGACTCCACGAACACCAGGAGGAGGAGACTTCACGCTGTGTGAAGATCTCTAAGCGCTGCGGAGCCTATCGGACCCAGCGCATTTCAAGAAGGCAACAGAGGTCTGACCAGCC